GGAGACGACGCGAGGAAGCAGCAAAGCGGGGCTCGCGGAGAGCGCAGGGACGTGCAAATGGAAATAGCCGCCTCGGAGAGCAATAGCAGCAGCAGGGGCCGGCGGCGGCGGGCGAGGCGGGTTCTATGTTCCAATTTTTCAGTTTTTCTTGATTTTTTGTGATTTTATGTAGGCTTTTGAGATTTTTTTCTGACACATCGTTAATTTTTTATGATTTTTTCGTGATTTTTTCAGTTTTTCGTGATTTTTTCGTGATTTTTTCGAAGAGTGCAGGACCTAGGGTTGGAAGCCCTGGAAAGTTTCCGGAAAATTTCTGGAAAATTCCTGGGAAATTTCCTAGATTTTGGAAAGTTTTCCCTTATTTTCCGTATAGTTCCGTATAGTTCCGAAAGTTTTCGGAAATTTTCCAGAAAATTTGGGAAATTTCCAACACTAGTAGGACCCTTCTTTGTATGGTCCTAGGGGGCATGGCAGCAGTATGTGCCTCACGGCGCCCACAACCCTGCTAATGGGTGGTGGTCTGGTCAGCGAGCGCACCACACCACCGCCACGGCCACCTCCTCGGGGGAGAGAGGCTAGAGGCTGGCCGCCGTCACCATGCGACACGCGGCCTCGCGCGGGAGAAGGGCGTCCGTCACGCACCTGCAGCTGCGGCGGCCAGCTGGCGGCTGGCCTGCGCCGCGGGCGCACCCAAGTGCAGCGTCTCCGCGGGCCGCGATAGTAGTTGGGCCTGCAAAACGGGGGGCGGGTTCGCACTGCAGCGCCGCGGTATGGCGACCGTCCCGCCCCCTCCCCCTCCCAGACAGGTGCAGGCGCGGAGGCCGTATACCTTGGCGAAGGGGCGCGAAGCTGTTTTCGGGAACCGCCGCCGAGCGAGAAGTAATAAGAAGTCTTCATCTCAGACTTTATGTGTATTTGCGGTGGCCGACTTCACCAAGGCCGGGATGCCTCCGTCTCTCGTGTGTATGTGTGTGTGTGTGGGGGGGGGGGGGCAAGGGGTCAACCACGCTGCAAACCACGGCGGCAGCTCGCTTTGTGAACCAACCGGGACCGGACCGCGTCACAAAGACTTGTAATAAAAACAAACTCATGTTGGCATCTCACACATGTCGGCGATCAGAACCTTCTGCTCTTTAGAGTCTTTGTCCATACCATCCTTCCTCCCGGGTTTCCCGTGGATTTGTTACATTTCAGGGCAGGGCCGGGGTGTGCCGCCGCCCCCAC